TTTCTTTTATAGGGAGCTAGAATCTAGTGTGGATTGTTTTTTAATAGTAGGAGGTATTTGTTAATCAGTTTTTCTGGTATGTATCACTGAATCTTCATTTATTTATTTTATTTATTTGGTTTAGAATAGACTTTCCTTTCTTTAATAATTTAAAATTTCACCTTTATTACATACCTTATTCTTACACAAATTTATTTGTGGACAGTTCTCTCTCACAGTATGTCAATCACATGGGATAAAAATGTTTTAAGTATCGTACTTTTTATAATATATTTAAATACCTGATAGTGAAATTTCTCTTAATTCATTTGAATTTTTCAAAGTTGTCTCTTGGAATGCAAACTAGTATAGTACAAATGTCAACATTATTGTTAGATAAGGAGAGCTACAGAAGTTTTGAAATGAAGGAGAGCAGACAGGAACTTAGGGAAAATGTAGCACTTTGGCTGGACCCAGAATGATGAATATGATTTGGCTTGGCAGAGAGGAAATAAAAGGGGCATTACAGACCGGGGGAAATAGCCTGAGCAGCACCCAGAATACTGAACAAGCATTATATAATGGGTGATGGGAGGAGGGTGAAAGGGATCTAACATTTGTTGAATACCTACTGAATGTGAGTCACTATGCTAAGAATCTTATAGGAAGAACTCTGAGGTCAACTGAATTCTCATACTTTCACTCCTATGCCAGTGCATGTTCAGTGCCTTGTTTTCAATCCCTTCCAATTTAGATGCAGTACTCAGTATTTCTTTGAGTTTCTGAAAAACAATTTGCTCACACAAGAACTATTGGTCAAAGTAAACCAGTTTCATTCTCCTGCATATGGATATCCAGTTTTCCCAGCACCATTCCTCTCACCATATACCAAAATCAACTCAAAATGGATTAGAGAATTAAATATACACCATAAAACAATAAAACTCCTTAAAGAAAACATAGGGGAAACACTCTAGGAAGTAGGATTAGGTACAGACTTCATGAATATGACCCCAAAAGCATAGATAAACAAAGGAAAAATAAATTAATGGGATTATATCAAACTAAAAAGCTTCTGCACAGCAGAAGAAACAATCAACAGAGTGAA